AGACATCGCATCTTGTGCCTACGTATCCTTACGGGAGTGGAATCAGAGTAATCGTAGTTCCCCTCAAAAGGGAGGTTAGAGACTTCTTGACTGTGGTCAAGGTCTCAAGGGGAATAAACGCATCTTAAGGACACACTTACGCGGAGTGTAGAAACTCCAAATCTCTACGTTGAATTGTTAAGTTGTAATTAGGGTTAAATTAGGGATTCCACGGCGGGAAACCCTAAAATGAGCGCGACGGCTCTTTGACCTAATGCTAGGGGTAAAATTGTAATTTGGCCTGCGGCGAGGCATTTGTGAAAATTAGGGTTTGTAGTTTGTAAGGGTTTGAAGTTGAGGACTATTGGCGCGGCGACCAAAAGCTAGACCTAACCTTCGGATGTGTGTAGTGTGACAGAATAATTGATAAGTGTAAAATGTGATGGTAGGTGAATAAATGCACAGCTATGAAATATAAAGTACTGGAAAGAAAAGATAATGCGACAATTGTCTCGCAAAATTACAACCGGGAAACAGATACATATATAATAATGAATTGGAATTTAATCTGCAGAGAGAAACTGAAAAAAAACGTTAGTGAAAGGGTTAGATGAAAACAAATAATATTAAAGGGGAGTACAAAAATGGAAAAAGGATTTTAGTGTAAAATTTAAAGAGAAATTAATATTAGTTTTTTTTTAAAAAAAAGAGATGTAAATTTTAAAAGAAGGTTTAATTTTTATCTTAAAAAAAGTTTAATTTTAAAAATATTTTAAGTTATTTTTAAAAAAAGTTTTATTTTATTATATGAAAAGAGGTTTTTTATTTTCTTATAAAAAAAATTTAAAGTTTTTATTTATTTCTTTTATATTTACACTAAAAGAGTTTTTAAAACAGTTTTTGAATTATAAAAATAAAAATGGTAAAGAACAGCTTTTAAAAACAGAAAAAACAATTAAAAAAAAACAAAACAAAAAAAATAAAAAATAAAATATAAAGGGGTTGGGTCGGTCATCACACCCGGACCCAACCCGGATGGTGTAAAAGATGGCTTTGTAGAATTAGGGTTTCAGACCCCATTTTCCTTTCGCGGCGCCGTTTACACTTCGTTCTTCCTCTCTCCTTCGTTCCCATCTTCGCTTCCGTCTTTCTCTCTCGCGGCCATGCTTCTCCTTCGATCTTCTTCATTCCTGAAACAAAACCTGAAAACTGTAATGAAAAATGTCCCTGGCTCACATTTAAAGTGAAACCGGCCGATGATGGATGTGAGCTGAGGCCCAAAACGGGAGATTGCCCGTCGTTTGGTTAAACGGCGAAGGCGATCTCCTCCTTCGATGATTCGCGGCCGCCTTCATTCGCAGATGATATTGATGGTTGGTGATGTTCTGAACAATGATGACGATCCCCCTTCGTCTGAGTTCGCGGCCGTCTCCTTATTTTGCGCCGCCTAGAGTTTTGCATGTGACTTTGTCCGTTCCTCTGGGGCTTTCGCGATCTTCGTTCGTTAGGGTTAGCATCAGGTGGTATCTTCCCTTTTATATATCCTTTTCGATCTTTCTTTTGGGCCTTTGATCTGATTTGCTGCTCTTTCTCTGAGATATGATTTCGTACGATTTTGTCTGATTTGATTTCATCTGGATTTGTTTGTTCTTTCAGATACTGATTGGGTTTCAATTGGATGTTTTCTGATACGGATCTGATACTGATTCAAAACTTTCCATTTTCAGAACTCCTTGATGGATTCGCTCGGATTTTAATTGATTCGATTTTGTTTGATCATTTTCTGATATACTGATTGGATTTTTGCAGATGTGGATTGGATTGCCTTTGGATTTTACTTGATCTGTTTGATATCTGAATTAATTCGTTTTTGATTTCGAACTGATTTGTTTGATTTCATTTGGATTCTTTGATCTCTCTTCCTAATACGATCTGGATATTGGTTTGTTTTGCTGACATGAATTCTTTTCCTGATGCAGTTAGCTTTTCCTCTTCTTCTTTCAGAGAGGGCTGATACCACGGCTTTGGTCGAGTCAGGATTGCCGGGAAAGGTATACGGCGATGATGATAAATCGTCTGAGCCTTCGAGGAGTATTCTTCGATGATGCTGCGATTGCCTTCTGTTGTGTTCTGTGGAATGTGGTTCAGAACATGAGTTCTGGGCTTGTTGCGATTTCCCGCTTTTTCTGCACTTGTTTCACTCTCTGAACTGGTATGTTTATGTTTGTTCTGAACTGGTTCGGTTTCGCTTTGGCAATTTTTGATTCCCTGTTTGGTTGCAAGAACAGTCCTTTTGAATGCTGTTTTTCCAAACGGTAATATGGACTCTGATCTAATTCTCTTGATATGGTAGACTCTTATGACTTACATTCACGTTTCGGTATCTTGCGAACTGACTACCTGCTGTGATATCAAATTGAAACTTGTTTTTACTTTTGATTCTTCTGAACTTTTTGACGCCATTTGATGCAGCTTGGTTTCATTTCATTTTTCTTGTCCTGTTTGAACTTGGTTTTCAAGAACTTACCTATGTGTTGCAGAACTGATGCTGCTTTTGGTTGTGCATTTTCAATTTGAATTTCCATTTACTCATGGCAGCTTATGAACTGTCTTGTTTTTGAGTTTCTGTCATCAATTTGTATTGATGCTGTCGTGGACTTTCAGGTGTTGGAAACAAAATGACTCTGACCTGTCGGCATCCGGGTCTGAATTCAGATTGACTATGTTGCCTTACTCTCGTATCAGTTTGGAAATCCAATCGCGGCAAAACGAATCAGTCCCGCTTCTTTTATCACTTCTATCTCTCGGATGTCCCGTAACGATAAGAACAGTTGTTACCTGATCTGACGCCAACGACACGGATCAGTAACGGGGGGTAGGACGCAGCTTCGGTTGTGCCACTCCCGGCACTCGATGATGACACTGTTCTGAGAGTGTCGAAAACAAACTCTAACATTTTTCTTTTCTATTCTGTTTGTTCTGTTTTGATGTGCAGGTGAATCGGGGATTCGTGGAGAAGCTCGAGGAACACCGCGAAGGACACTTAGAAGTCTTTAGGATTTAGGACTTTTTAGAGTTAATGTAATTCCTTGTAACAGCAATAAAACAATTCAAACCTTTTTGTACCATGATGTTCTTATGAAATAAAATGCCAGAACTTCTTTTATATATTCATGACTGCTCAGTTTTAAATTTGTTTATATTTATTTCCAGTTAAAAAATTATAAACCTTTGTGAATAAATCCACAAATATTTAAATCCCTTAACATAGTCATAAACCATAAACATTCCCGAATGATATTCTTGTTTGTGCACTTGTCTCATTTGTAGCCTTAACCTCAGCACTTGATTAAATTCAATTGTATTTCAACTTTAAATGCTAACCAGCAACTTTATAACCAAACACGGATGCGCGCCGTAATCACAACATACTCAGTATCAACAATAACGTCGCCCGTAATTGAACTCCACTGACCAAATGCTAAGAGCAAACAATCCAATAATACCCAGTTAAACTGTGCCTTATTAACAGAAACGGAAGTGTGTCGGACATAAGCCATGAGCGATAAAATAGGTCTTAAATCCAGTTGTGCTCGTCAAATTTCAATACCGACCACATCGAATTGGCGCCTTGATATAATCAAACCCGGTGATAAATAAATGCCTCAGAAATAGTGTATCAAATGCCTCAAAACTTAATAACAGCCCGTCTTCAAGGAATTAGCAGAATCCACGTAAAATGACCAAAATACCCCTGGAACCAATCCTGCAAAACAAACACCTCCATAACTTGTTAGTGGTTAGCAAATGCACAGATGAGATGATATGCGAAATGACTGACTAAATATAAGGGTAAAATTTGGGGTATTACACCTAGCAAAGGAATGGTTGCTGAAGCGGTTCAAGAAATCAACATTATTGATCCAAATTTCTTTGGTCAGAACTCTGTTTTGCTCTTCCAACTCAAGGCAGCAATAACTCATGTTTCGCGGTGGCGACATTTAAAGTTCCTTAGCCGCAACAACCAAGGAGGTCCCAGCTATGGTTTGATGTGAACCTTGCGACAACAACACTACTTGATATTGTGGTGCAGTCGAGAGTTACGACCGTTCGCATGATCGAATCGCTCCGAAAAATGAACGTCGTCTTGAGAGGTTTAAGAATCGGAACTTCTTCAAAGTCACCACCACTGATGACCCTGTTATCCGGAGACCCGCCAATGAAGATAAAGCCACGGTATTTGCTACTGATGCTATTTTATCGACTCTCATGTGCGCTCCTAAGTCTGTTTACTCTTGGGATATTGTTGTTCAGCAAGTTGGGAATAAGCTTTTCTTTGATAAGCGTGATGGGTCGCAGCTGGATTTGCTTTCTGTTCATGAGACCTCTCAGGAGCCATTGCCTGAGGCGAAAGATGATATTAACTCTGCTCATTCGCTTAGTGTTGAGGCTTCTTATATCAATCAGAATTTCTCTCAACAAGTTTTGATTAGGGATGGGAAAAAGGTTACTTTTGATGAGCCTAATCCTTTTGCTAATGAAGGTGAAGAGGTTGCTTATGTTGGTTATAGGTATAGAAGGTGGAAGCTTGATAATGATATGTATCTTGTTGCTAGGTGTGAGGTGCATAGTGTTGTTGATGTCAACAACCAAAGGTCTTTCCTTACTTTGAATGCATTGAATGAGTTTGATCCAAAGTATTCTGGTGTTGATTGGAGGCAGAAGTTGGAGACGCAAAGAGGTGCTGTTTTGGCTACGGAACTGCAAAAACAGAAGAGAAGGAGTTCTTAAGAATGTTTCAGACGCCAGTCATTGAAGTGCCCACAAATCTTCCTAATATTCATGTTTCGCTGTCTGTGATTGATCTGTATGCAGGTAATGGATTTTCTTGATTCAAGATTCAAACTCGAATTGCCACGATGCGGGTTTTAGGCTCAACAGTGGAACAACTCGAAGATACAGCGATATTACATTGCACGGTGCACCAGTGACAAGTGTAACAACAATCGATTCAAGACAGGATGCGTAAATTGGACATCAACTTCGGTCGGTTCTACTTTCATTCTTTGAATCTGTTTCGTGAAGTCATTTATCATCACGACGCAACATTCAACCACCGACTCGACAATGGTTTGTGTAAGTTTGCTTTGATTTTGTGGTGTTGTGTTGTAACTTGAAGCAACCGTAATATTCGATTTGGCTAGTTTGTGATTCCACTTGCAGCAACGACAGCTAGTATTTCGCAGTAGTAGAGGACTACGTATTGAAACTGAAGGAAGTGGGGAAGACTCGTTTCATTGGGATTACCGGACTTCCGTTGGAGATATTTACATATGTTCTCGACAGGGTTCCGCCTGGAACATTGGATGTTATACTTTCCTATTGCCATCATTCCATCAATGATTCGACTTTGGAGGGCATAGTTCCTTATCTGAAGTCCAAAGGTGTTGGTATCATCAGTGCTTCCCCGTTGGCAATGGGTCTTCTCACTGAGGCTGGGCCTCCTGAATGGTATCCTGCTTCACCAGAACTTAAGTCTGCTTGTAAAGCTGCCGCGACCTATTGCAAAGGAAAAGAAAAAAAACATTTCAAAGTTAGCAGTGCAGTACAGCTTGTTAAATGAAGAAACCACATCAGTGTTGATACATGTGCAGCAGCAGTTCATCAACAACAGAGTAGTTTGTAACAGCGAAAGCCCATCGAGATCAATCTCTCTATATTGCCGATGTTGCTGAGTTGCGACAACTCCGGCAACGACTCCGTAAGCCATCAAGGTTTTAACAACAACTCGGTAGTAGCTAGCATTTTCAGTTCTCGTAATCAGGAACTCTGAGCAGCATCTCGGTTCACCACCACTACGCAACAAATCCAAGCTCATATCGAATGATGTACCTACTGCCAAGTTTGTGCATCAGCACTGTAAGCTTATTTGTTATGTATTGAACCGTGTTGCAATTCTGTGCGTGGATACTAGTTCGAGGACGCCATATTGGTTCTTGTCGACTATTCTGCATCGAAGGCTTGGTGTTGCATCACTTTGATAACACCTCAGCATGACGATAACGGTAATAAATAATACCTATCACCACCTCCGCCGGCATCGCGATAATAGAATGGTTCTTTCTTTTACCTTTGTGTCATACTGTTATGTGTTGTTTCTTTTCATCAAATTCGATTTTGTGGCGGTATTGGTATTTCTAGCAGATTTTTGATTTGATTTCGTGGAACTATTGTTTACTGTCTGTGGTTTACCTTCATTTGTTTAATGTGTGTGCTGTTGTAGTTAAGGTTATCAATGGTCGCAGCTGTGCAGTAATAATGATTTGTGGCTGCTGTGTGGGTTCATACCAGTAGCTCATCGCTGCCGACGTGTATTATTCGAACCGTTTTGCCGCAGTAAGAGGAGTACAGGGCATTCACTTTAAAACCATGGAGGAAACTGATGATGTGGTCGAAGATATTCAACGGTGTACAAGTTAAAAGAGGAGCAGACGAGCTCAGCCAACTCACGCCGAAATTACTTAAATAAAGATTCAGTTGGCATTTGGGTAATCGTTTTCATTACAATGTCAATCATACATACTCAGCTTATCATTCATATGGGTTATTGTTATGTTGATTTCATGAGATTTATGGATGATGAACTGTTTAGTAGACGTAAGCGTGCGACATTTGGTAACACCTCAAACTAATTCATCATCTACTGACATTCTACAGCAAAAGTTCAATGTCAATTGTATGCCTTTTTCTGATATATTGAGCTATATAGACTGTAAATGCTTGAGCTGTTTTATTGAGTTTTGACCGTGAAAATAGATTCATGTGGCAGACCCTTTTAAACTGTCAAACAAATGCTGCAAGATAGTTGTATTTCTACTACTGCGAATACTTCGTTATTTCGCTTACATTTCACACTACGTTAAACTTGTAAATTGGTATTTAAAGATGAGTTTCTATTGCTGCTTGTATTTTGGTCCTGTTAATGATGCATATGCGTGAGTTGAGCCCAAAAACGGTAACTGTCTATTTTAGTTTTTGCAAGATATATAAGATGTATTCTGTTCTGATTTCTCTGCCATCACATGGTCAGTTTCGAACTCGCGAAATTCATTTTTTTTCTATTCTATTTGGGCTGGCTGTTGATTATGTGCAGGTTACGGCGTCGCCGAATTTTGATAGCGCAACAATAATGATGAAGCTAGATGATAGTAGCAGCCCGCAGCAGCAACTTTCAAGTCGCGGTTCGCATTGCGCGTTTACCTTTGATTTCGGTGCGTGATCACAATACTACGAAACACGCGAGTTCAATGAGCTTGGCAACATTGGGCTGGTTATAGGTTTGAGATTCAAAAGTTGGAATCCAACTTGGTTCACATCAACAACAATCTCGTGGCAGCTCTTACTCTGGTTATACGGCGTCGGTAAATCTTTGAATCCTTGTTCTTTGGCTCAATTTTACATAAACACTCAATTAGGCTTGGTTGCTACTGGAGATTTGATGTATTTATCATTGTTTATATAGCATTTTATGGTTGTTTTTATTCTAAAATTTGTGTCGAATATCCGACGTGACGTCGTTAATATTCAAGGTGTTGTTTTGAATTAACAATATTAGTTCTTGGTTAGTAAATTATATCTAGCTTTTGGTGTGCTCAAATGTCATTTTCAAAATATATTTCAAAAATCATTACCAAATTAATACTTTTAAATAATAAACTTTTCAAAAATATATTTTATTTAAAATCTATTTCTTCTTAAAGGTATTAACCTTTTCAAAACAATTAATTATAATAATATTTTAAGTATAAAAAAAAATATATATACTTTATTAATAAAGTTAAAATATTTTTTTTCTGAGATACTAAACTTTTTCTTCAAAAAACAATTAGTTATGAGTGATTTTTCTCAAAAAAACTCTTTACAATTGATTAATTTATTTTATATGAAAATTAAAACTATTTTTCTTAATTAAATTAAACATTTTTTTCAAACAAATTTTAAAACAATTAAATTCTTGGATCTCGCCTTCCTTGAATTTTTTAAGCGATCGCTCTCGAGGTGCACACCTCGAGTTTTGACCCTTTCGATCTTATTTTCTAGAATACATAGCACGCTTAGTCCGAGTACGCTAATATTCCTAATTTATTTTCATAATTAAATCACGAAATAATCGAGTTCCTAGAATCGCGCATTCCTCGAATTCGCGAGTGACTACTATTGAGGCATACGCCTTGAATGGTGTGTCGTTCGATTTTTCGTCTCTAAAATACCTCCTTTAATTATTTGGACAAGTACTCTCACTGTCCAACAAACACTATTTCATAATTAATGGGATGAAAAAGATTGTTGTTGGGATCTAGCATTCCAACGATAGCCCGACTAATTGGTTACGAGGCTGACGTCTCGTTTATCGAATAGTCGTCATTCCTCCTAATTTCCAACTCGTCTAACCTCGTTCCTCGCCTTCGTGTGATCGAGTCTAAGCCCTAGTATGTTTCTAAACCGTATATCAAACTTAAAACTATTTTCTTAATTAAACTACGAAAGAATTGAGTTCTTGGAGTCTCGCACTCCTTGAATTCTTGAGTAACCACTCTTGGGGCGTACACTTTAGGTTGTGGGTTGCTCGACCTTTCGTCCATAAAACACGCGCCCTAACTATTTGGACAAATACTGCCACTGTCCATTCAAATAAAATTTCCTAATTAATTGAATGAAGAAGGTGTCGTTGGAATCTAGCATTCCAACGATATCCCGACTAATTGGTTGCGAGACTGACGTCTCGTTTATCGAGCAGTCGTCATTCTCCTTCAAAATATCTAACCAACCTTATCTTCCTCGCCCTCGTGCGATTTCAATTCAAACAATCCTTTACCAAAGAACATTGTTTAGTCCCTTCTTCCGCGCATAACAAACTAGTGCTTCAGCCTCCCCTAGCGAGTAGATAAGCCAACGTTTAGCAGTTAGAACGCGACCTAAACACTCGTTCATATACCAAACCTTTTACCGTAGTTAGCCGAACTACGGCTGCTCTGATTTCTCATTTATCAATGAGAATACGTAGGCACAAGATTGCGACGATCTTGGCGAGCATAATCCCCCCTCTTTTTACCCGTAGTCCACGAACTACGAATGCTCTGATTTTCCACTTCTTACAAGTGGAGATATGTAGGCACAAGGGCCCCAATCCTTGGCGAGCACCCTATCTTTAAACCATCCGTCCCCCCATAGGAGAAACCTTAGAAGAAAATAATCAAGCATAGTTAACTTTACTCTCGAATCGATCAAGAGGTTCTCGTTGAGTACAACGGACGTAGAGGGTGCTAATACCTTCCCTCTGCGTAACCGACTCCCGAACCTAGAATATTGGTTACGATGACCATGTTCTTATCTCCTTTAAGGTTTTATCGATATTTTCCTATTCCATCCTTGGAATGAATAAAGTTCGGTGGCGACTCTGTTTCGAACAGTATTTTCCGCGGCCATCGCGAGGATCGTATTTTTCGAGGTACGACACCTGGCACCAAACACATGTTCGAAGCATTCAAATCAAGAGTATTCTGACTCATCTGGGTATCAAGCTTTTCCTCCAACAGCTGGCATTTCCTCATAAACTCAACAGTCTGCGGGTTCTCAGCATTAACCTTCGGAACAGCCCTCTGAGAATCTGGCACAGGGAAAGTCAAATTGTGATAATCTGTGTCATGGAGAGAAGATGAATCTTTATATCTGACAGGAATCTGCACATTCTGGGCTTGAGCAACATTGTTCACTGGGATCCTATGAACATTAGCCTCTCCTTTAGTCATAACGGTTATGGCTTCCATGAGTTGACCCAACTAATTCTTCATCAATTCAAACTCTACCCTGGTGACAACCAAGTTCTGCTCCTCTAAACCCATGATCCTTCTAAAAGATAGTTCGAGTCCAATGCGAATATCGGGAAATCAACTGCGGGTTGGACAAAAGACGGGTAAGCCTTCTGTTCTGGCCGAGGATGGACATGCAAGCATGAGATGCACATGAAATGCAATGCAAGATGCAACAAACATGGGATCACAGCCCCCGCAATGCTCTAAATACTGTTGCGCTGCTGACTAGATAAGTTCGCTTTGAAGCGATAACCAAAATATCAGGTTGGCTGGAAGTCAAGTTTCCTGCAAAAAAACCCTCTCACTCACAGGTATGAACCTAAACTGACAAGGTACGGCATCCTATGCGTTCATTAGCGTCACAGACTTTCAAGAAATGATGATACGTTCAACATTTCTGGTTTGGCATCATCATCTCCTGAAGTGGCCTCACTTAGCTGACTCACAAATGATCGGTCCTCAGAGTCGACAACCCTCAAATCCAAAATTCCCTCGAGCCCAAAGGGCCAGAAAGAAAGTTGTCTAAGAGAATCTCGTCCGAGCGTAAATTTCATGGTGTGCTAGTACGAGCAAAGCAAGCACATCCACCACTAATCTCCACTACTAAAGGTAGGTGTGTACTCAAGCCTGGGTTTTGGCTTATCTCTCAAAGGAACACCCACCCAATAGCACAACAGCAACAGATAATAATATAGTGCGGAAATTGTAAATACAACAAAATACAAAATACAACACAAAACATACAAACCCA